ATGAATTCACACTACCTCACTGAATTAAGCACAAGAAAAAGAAACCCATTTCATCGGGCCCGTCTTTCTGTATAATTTGCCTACCATAAGCAGTCCTTTCAGGAGACCTTTGTGCATGACTTTCACGCCTGACAACCAGCTCCTATCACTAAGATACTGAGACGCTCCCTCCACTTCGGGATGCCCAGCTGACCTCCACCCCAGGTGCTGTTCGACACACGCGGCATGCGACGCCTGCCTTTATGAAGGAGACCCCCCCTCTTAAGTTAATCTAAGACCACCTCCCCCTAGCCTTCTACACTGCATTTCAAAAGGAAAAGTTAAAAGTCAGCCAGAGGAGGTCGTGGAGGGACCGGCTGGCTCACAGGCCTCGAGGTTGAGGATTAAACCCCCACTCCTGCTCACAATCCATCTTTAGGTCACGGGCATGGTATGGAGGAATTCTCCCCAGAAGGCACTGTTCTCGCTCAACTGCTCAGACCCCCACCTAGTCACGCCCCCCACGACCCTCTCACATGTGAACCTCTTAGACTGTATGCCTCTGAAAGGGCCAGGGTTTTCTTTGTCAGGAGCTCGGCTGTTGAAGCAGCTCCCGGCAAATCCAGTGACCGCTTCCTTCCCTGTTCGGCGTGGAGAGGTTTGCTTTCGGCTGCTCCTGCTTCATTTACACATGACCATTGGCCTTTGCGTTTCTTCTTTCATAAATTACCTTTATGACTTTTCCCATGTCCCTCAAAGGTGGTGGTCTTTTTTATGCTGATTAATATATGTTATGACCTATATTTTGATATATTAGAGTTTTTTTAAATTATTTGAGTTGTCAACAATTTCTCTAGTTTGTGTGTGGCTTTTCTGTTTTGAAGAAAAAAATAGCTTCTGAAGTATTATGGCGAAAGGGAATGATAAAATAACTCTGCTGAGCAAAGGAGACGCCGGAGCACGGAAGAGCCGGGACACACGGCAGCTTCCAGCAAAGGAGACGCCGGAGCACAGAAGAGCCGGGACACACGGCAGCTTCCAGCAAAGGAGACACAGGAGCACGGAAGAGCCGGGACACATGGCAGCTTCGAGCTGAAGGAGGCCAGCAATTACACTAGACAGAAATGGACTAAAATCTCAAGGTAGGAGACAAAGAATTTTAAACTGGGTGGCAAATTTTCAGCTCTATTTTCCTAGGAGATGCAAAAGAAACAAAAGGCTACATTAAGCAGCAGATAAAAGGACCCAACAAACAGCATGCAAAGGTAACCACACCAAGCCGGCAGAGCCCAGTTAAATACTGGCCAGATTTGAAGCAAGTTGTTAAAAGATTCAATTCGGTGAAAAGGTAAAGCCATTTTAAGATGAGAAACACTATCAGCAGAGCCTCAAAAGTAGTTACTTAAACACAAAAGAAGAGAGCAAGGACTCTGGGAGGGACCCTGGGCACCCGCTGTGGGGTCTCGCCAAGTGCCTGGCCAGCCTGCGCTGAAACCGGACGAACTCACACTCTGAGCAGAGGCAAGATGTTTCTAGAAACACACGCAGCGGGCCACGGAGCGAGTCTCCACAGACTTCCCACAAGTGAATGCATCTGAGGACGTGCTCAGACCACAGCACAGCTCAGCAGCAAAGTGTAAACCCCATACAGTTTAATAAACACACTTTTGTAAAATATTTAAAACAGAATGGAAATGAGAATATAACCTACCAAAATTAGTGAAATGCAGCTGAGAGAGATCAGAGAGCTTTACAGCATTCAATACACACGAGAAGAGAAAAGCTGAGAAGAAAGTAGTCCACCTCAGAAGTTACACACAGAACAGTCAAATGAACAGCAAGAATGCAGAAATTGAAAATAATGAGCAGGAATTAAGTAGAAACCAAAAAGACACCAGAGTGGCCCACCAAGCTGCAGGTCACTCAGAAATACAAACGTTACCAACGACTTCTGTGAGGCTCAGCCAGGAAAAACAAAAGGCGCCTATGACCATCAGCAAAGGGTGTCACTGTGAACCCCAGACACCGAAAAACCTAGAAGATACCTGAGCCACATCTCCAGGCCAGTAACTCTGAAAGTCTAGGCAAGACAGTCCAAGTTTTAGAAAAAACACAACCTAGACACTGGCTCAAGAAGAAACCTGAATGTCCCGTAATTACTAAGGGAAACGAAACCTTGCCTCCCCACTTTCCCGAAACAAACCCGGGCCCAGAAGACTTCCCTGCAAGTTTCACCCGGCGAGAAACAGGAATCCCAATCCCAACAGAAAATGTGGGCAGTTTCCCAATGCTCAGTGAGCACAACCTGAGAGGAAGACCCAAGAAGGGCAGCATTTAAATTAATGCCCAGTATTTAATTTCCCAAGAAGGGCAGTATTTAAGGTCCAGTATTTAATTCCCCCAGAAGGGCAGTATTTAAGGGCTATTAAAAGCAAGCCTTTTCCTACAGCCAGATCCACCTCGGAAGACAGGGGTCTGACTGAGAAACGTCATTCACACCCACGTTTACAAAAGCAGCATGGCAGCCCAACACATGACGAAAAAGCAACTGGCACATTAGAGACGGGGGTACCTCTTTAGCCCAGGGTGGAGCTTTGGGGCCTCACCGCCCACCAGCGGCTCCCCAGGGGCTGGCCTGACTCCTGGCTGAGTCTTCGCTCCTCCCTTCTCTCCCCCTCCCAGAGGCCCCACTCCCTTGCCTCTCCCCATCCCTGGTTACTCTGCATCCACATTTTTGATTTCCTGGCTTGGGTGCTGTTCCGTCTGGGCCCTTGTGGGGACAGCTCACAGATGTCTCCACGGTTCTTTAGAATCCGGGTGGCATCAATTTCCTCCATCACAACTGTCTCCATTTTGTTTTCACGCCACTCCAAGAGGCAGCTTCAGCCTCCTTCCACCTCCACCTACCCCACCCAGAGACCTCCGGGATCCCTGCACCTCTTCTTCTCTCTCCCCACCTCCCAGACCTGCCAACTCAGCACCAGGGCAACAAGATCAAACTGTCCCTGCAGCTGGGGAACACAGCCTCCCATGCATGCCTGGGTAGCCTGCCACCGGAATGAACCAGTTCCCACTACCAGCTGCTCCTGCCTCGGCCTCCCTCCCCACACTGAGGGAACCAGGTCTGCTGGGTAAGGCCCTCTCCTCAAGGTATTTTCCCCAGTGGGGTCCAGGATGATGCCCTCTGAACTCTCCCACATCCAAGGACAGCCTCCTCTCAGGATAAGGAATTTAACTTTGGTTATACGTGGTATTCCGGAAGATTGTGGACACCGTTTCGCTCTTCCAGCCTCCAGCGTCGAAGCCTAAAGCTGGATGCCTGATTGCTGATCACTTTGCACTATAATTTCCATTTTCATCCATAAGCTTAAAAGGTTTTCTTTTCTCTACGCTCTGAAGTTTAGAGTGTATTCTTTTTTAAACCGGCATCTACCTGGTTGTCTTTTCTCACCAATTCCGTGAAGAGCTGGGGAGCCCTGTGATCTGTGGTTTCCTTAGCTCGGGAAATCTGTTTCTGCTCTTCCCGCCTCACCTTCCCTCCGCGGTGCTATTTTCTCCTCTGGAATTCCCATTCCTCACACGCCAGATTCCTGGATCATTCTAGCAAGCCTCCTCTCCCTTTCAAAATTTCTGCTTTTATTTTTGTGTTACACTATATTATAATCCTCTTCTAAAAACATACTGTCCTTCATTTGGCCAGTACATGACTTCAATACCATCAAATCAGTGCTTCAATTCTTGGGTTTTAAGATTGGAGCTGTCAACGTAAGGACTAGGATGGAGAGAGGGTCCAGCTCTGCAGGCGGCAGCAACAGGAGGAGGCCAGCCTTCCCAGAGGACCAGCTGAGGCCCGCGGCTCCTCCTGCACTCACAACTCAGGAGCCCCTCGGCTCAGCTCTCTGAAGTGCAGCTGCATCTGCAAAGCAAGAGCACTTCTCCTCCCTGCCTGCCCCCTGCCCGTTCTTGCAGCCCATGTGGCCCCAAGGGCAAGAAAGAGAATCAGCCGGGAAGGCACATGACGGCATGCAGGAGGCGGCTGGGGCTCCCACGCGGAGGCC